GGTGAGCACACGTGCTCCATAGCAAAAATCTCTAAAAAAAAAAAAAAGCTGATAAAAGTGCTATGCTTAGTATCTACAAATATTTTTTAAACATTGTCATATTCTCTCATGTTCATATTCACATAAAATGATTCTTGTAAATGAAAAATATAGCTAAAAAAAGTTGACCAAACAGGAAGTATTATCTACCTATTACCAAGAACTAATTATAAATTTTAGCATATAAACTTTTAGGTTGATTAGCTGACTTAATTAGCTTAATTGACTGACTTAATCAAATTCTAATTTTTTGTTTAAACTTGACTAAACATATGAAATGAGTTTAGAGAAGTGTCATGTTGAATATAAAATATGTCATGCAGCCAGGCAGGAAATTGCTTCTTCAGAGATTAATTACTACTATGCTGTCCTTACATTCGTTAGAGCAACTTGGTCTGAGAGATAGAAATATATGCTGGGAAAACACATTTTTACCATAAGTTAGTTTGTTAGTTTGTTTATAGTTTGTTATAGGGTGAATGCGCTCCCTGGATAGAGACAGAGAGGAAAGTGAGTAATCACCCCTCAGAGGGGATGCTCTCGCAGCAATCCCTTCTCCTCCATTCTCCTTTTGGGATTCTGGGCAGGCAAACACAGGTCCAGCGGGATTTTTAAGCCACCAGGTCCAGAACTCAAACTGCACAGTTGACCGTATTGAATCAAGCTGCCTTAACCCGCACACCACCTGCAGGCCCTAAGTTTATTTATTGATGTTTCTTGTCTTAAACCTATCTTTTCAAAAAGTAATTTCATTGTTAATATTATTTTTGATTGACAGATTATAATCATATTGTTTAGGGGATGTGTTTTCATACATGTGTGCGCAATGTGGAATGCCTGAGTAAAGCTCATCAATACAGCCATTGCTTTGATTACCTATTCATTTTTGTGGTGAGACATTTGAAATTTACTGTTAATTTTGAAATGTAATTATTGACTATAGTCACCCTGCCATGCAGTGGGCCTTAAAACCTAATTCTCCTGTCCACGCGAACCTCTGTGCCCTTGAGCCACAGCTGCCATCCCCTCCGCGCCCCGCCCAGCTCAGGTAACCACCATCCTGCTCTCCACTCCCGTGAGCTCAGCTTCAGCCCACACACAGGTGCGAGCTCACGGGGTATCTGTCCTCCTGTCCCGAATGAATGTCCTTCACACGTATCTGTGCTGTCACGAGCCACAGGATTTCTCCTTTCTAAAAGCTCAGCACGATCTTGCTGTGTATTTATGACACATTTTTATTATCTACTTATCTTCTGATGGCCACTTAAGTTGTTAAGTCCACTTATTTTATTATTTTTTTTTGGAGAGAAATCAGCCCCCGGAGGGGATGGCCACGCCATAATTCCTTCTCCTCCATTCTCCTCTCAGGATATTGGGCACACTCACACATGTGCCCCGTGTGAGTTTAAGCCACCGGGTCCAGGACTCGAACCGCAGTTAACTACATGGGAGTCCAGCGACATAGCCATGATGCCAACTGCTGGCCCCACGTCCACTTAGTTTTTTTAATGGTAGTATTTTTGAGATAAGTCTCTGTTATGGAAAACTCAGACTCCATTTTTAAAAGTGCTTTTTATTAGTTAACCATGATTGTGCTTCCTATAAGCAGTGTTCTCATTTCAGATTTCCAGCTTACTATAGTGTTAAACTCACTTAGGGCAGAAATGTTCAGCTGACTGTCTTTCTGGTAGGCCACTGTCAATACAATTTTTCCTGTAAAACCTAGTTTTCAAGTAGCTGTTGAACAAGAAGGTTTAAAACTTAAAGTTAATAGTTCTCCTGGTACACCAGGGAGATACTTACCGGCAAGACTGCCCTTGGATAAGTCTAGATGCTTCGGGCATAGCACGTAAACCGTGCTGGGAGAATGCATATTTGTGTATGTGCGGTAGGGGTGGGAAGAAAGGGGGGAGGGAGAGATTCACAGACTACATTTAAGTTAATAGACATTGTAAAATATTTGTCTTGTTTTGTTTTAATTTATAATAGCACATGTATGTTCATGTGTGAACAAAGAGAAGAGGGGGAGACAGAGAAGCACCCCAATAGGGTGTTATTGCGTGCTGACCCCCTTTCCTCAGCCCTTCAGCTTATGAGCGTCTCGGGAAGGACTGGGGATCTAAACCCATGAACAGCCCCGTGGCTTCCAGCGCTGCGGTTCAGTGTGCTATCAGCTGTGCCTCAGGCTGGCCTGAGTTTATTGTTTTCCCTTCTTTTCTTGGTTGTTGTTTTTACTGTTAAATTCTCATCTGTGATCCTATGGAGGTTGTACCCATTATCTTACAAAACAGAGGTGCATTGATATTGCTACTTTTCTAAAATTAAAAAGTATATTTAGTGCTGGGACCAGCAGATGGCGTAATGGCTACCTTGCTGAACTCCCACGTAGTCGACCGCGGTTCGAGTCCTGGACCCGGTGGCTTAAACTCACACCGGACACGTGTGTGTGCATGTCCAAGATCCCGAGAGGAGAATGGAGGAGAAGGGATTGCAGCATGGCCATCCCCCCTGGGGGGTGATTTCTCGCTTTCTGTCTCTCTGCCTCTCTCTGTCTTTCTGGCGAGTGCACACGCCCTAGAGCAAAAACCTCTCAAAAAAAAAAAAAAAAAGGATATTTAATGCTACAGGAATATTATGCAATATTAGGAGGATTTCTGTTGATATTTAAACTTATGAGACTTGTCTTACTAGTTTATCATTCTATTGGGGGAAATGCTTCTGTAACATAAATATTCAGAATACAGACTCACCACTCAATAACTTTATTTACTATAATTGCTCTATTATGGAATGCTTAAATTTCTTTCAGACCACAGTAGATTTAACAAAGGATACATTAATATGGTCATTTTAGAATATTACTTGAAAGCAAAATGCACATTTTTAGAAAGACTAAAATTATTTTAGCCTCATGAAACTGGAAGAAGCCCCCAGAGATCGCTCTGGCGTCCCATTCCAGTACTACAACACGTCATTCATTTCTATGGCTGATACTCCCCATGGAAGAAAGCCAAAGGAAAGAGTCTGGTCAAAGCTATAAGCCCCCAAACCGGAGAGACCTTTCGGGGGGAAAAATTCTTTCTTTCTCCTCACATAATTGTAATACATGCAAGTGCTGAAAGAGATTATTGCAACTTCATCTGTGTCCTGATTCCAAAGTTAATAAAATAACCAAGGGCATTTAAGTTCCTTTGGCTGTACAGTAATATAAAATGGAGAACAGCTGATCAATACCCTCCGAATCCCATTACCTCATGTATTGAAAGATGGCTAAGATGGGAGTTGTCAGGCTCTTTTTAATTCGAGTTATGTCTAGCTTCATTAACCTTCTTCCTTACAATCATTTCCTGTCACTTAATAATTTTACGGTGTCCATCAACTCTCTTTCCAAAATGTATCAAATTTATCCAAAAGCCAACTCCTGGAAGCTTGTAGTGTAATATAAATGGATAATGTTTTTCTATTTGTTCTATCTTCAGTCCTAAAATTGGTATTTATATAAAACCTCTTTTGGATAAAAACTCATCTTCCTACCCTAGCAAATGCTCTCTGACTGCATGGGTGCCCTTTCCACTCACCCTACAATCAACACTGTTGTTACTGCAAGAACTGTCTTCGGTGCATCTCATACATATTGCAGACGCTTACCACCTGTAACTGCTCTTTGATCAAAAGATAGATGGTCTAAAACTCTAGCTTCCAGGTGGCATCAGTAAATAGTTTAAAACTTGGTTTAACATGGAAAGGAGGCACCTTAATCATTTTTTAACAAAAAGCATGATGAGACTTTATCTTCCATGTTTTGGGGGGTAAGTTTTTTTTGGAAGGAGTTCATAATATTTTGAAAGTGTTACTCAGTGTTATAAAATAACTATTTCAAGAAGCTTAGTATTTTGAAAAGGATTAGTTTGTCAAGAAAGGCATGATGTGGGACCAGCAGTTAGCGTAATGGCTATGTCACTGGACTCCCACGTAGTCGACTGCAGTTCGCGTCCCAGACCTGGTGGCTTAAAACTCATGTCGGGCGCGTGTGCATGCGTGCCCAAGATCCCAAGAGGAGAACGGAGGAGAAGGGATTGCGGCATGGCCATCCTCTCTGGGGGGTGATTTCTCGCTTTCTGTCTCTCTGTCTTTCTCTGTCTTTCTGGCAAGCGCACGCGCCTATAGCAAAAAACCTTTCTAAAAAAAAAAAAAGAAAGGCATGATGTAATTTCTCTATGTAAACCGTGTCATGACTTCCTCAACAACCCAGTATTTGAAAGTACTGGCCTTTCCTTCTGGACAAAGTGTTCCGTATTATCACAGTGTTCCGTTGGTAGGCTGAATAAAAATGACTGAATACACAGAAGTTTTCATAGGCAGAAAAAAATCATGATTCTGAATATGTACAGGTACCACCAAACACAGAACCCACATATTTGCCTAAATGTAAACATGAGGACAAAGGATACTAGAGGAGAAAATGTTTCTTAATTCCTCTATTTTCTTTATTAAGATGTGTGTGAAGGGGCCAGCAGGTGGTGTGGTGGTTAAAGGCACTGGACTCCCACGTGGCTGACTACGGTTCTAGTCCCAAATCTGGCGGCTTGCTTTTTCACTTTCCCTCTTCTCTCTTTTTCTCACTCTGTCTCTCTCTGGTTAAAATGAAATAAAGTTAAATAAAATATTTTTTTAAAAGGTGCATCTGAGGATGTCACATATACTGTAGTGTTAACTACAACACACAACACATCTAGCTGTGATGCCGACATTCTTGAAGAAGCAAGAAAAGAGCATGAAAAACTGAGCGTGTGTCCCGAGGTTTATCCAAGTCAATGCATTCTAAAGTGATAAAACACTATGGTTTGTTGTAATTGTCCATGATAGTACCAAAACATCTGTAGTTCTCTCACATAGATGTCACCTATCACCACACCTGTCCCAGTAAAATCTCTTCAGATAGTGGAAGGCGAGACTCATACCCGATGTGCGTGGCTTCTGTCCTTCCCTCTCCAGTGAATACGCATCTGGCTGCAAGTATGTCACCAAAACTAACATCGACTGGGTGTTCCACAGGATAGAAGGCCTGCCAAGAGGACAAATGCAATGATTTATTAAGGTTACCAATAAGTGCCACCAGGTGGCGTGGTGGCTAAGGCACTGGACTTCCACTTGGCCGACTGTGGTTTGAGCCCTGGACCTGGTGGCTTGAAAATTACACTGGGCACCCATGTACGTGCACGCCCCAAATCCCAGGAGCAGAGTGGAGAAGGGATCATCGCTTCTAGGGAGTGATCTCCTACTTTCCCTCTCTCTGTCTCCCTCTGGTGAGATCATGTGCCCTATGGCAAAACCCTAAAATTAGAAAAAAAAATTTTTTTTCTCTGCCTCTTCGGCGAGTGCATGTGCCCTATAACAAAAATCTTTTTTCTTTTTTTAAAAATATAATAGTTATACTAATGTGAGGCACTCCGGGTAGAGACAATGAAGACAGACCCCTATATACACAAACAATGGATGAATAAGGAGAGCTCGCCTTTAATTAATCGAGTCTACGTGAGTGCCAGCCTTTGAAATACGCACTGTCGAAGGTGGGCTCCACACCCTGAGCTCTCCTCCCACCCCCTCTTTTCTTTTTTCTTTTTTTAGAGATGTTTTTGTTATAGGACGCATGAGCTCACCAGACAGAAAGCAAGAAATCATCCCCCAGGGGGCGATGGCCATGCCGCAATCCCTTCTCCTCCATTCTCCTCTCGGGATCTTGGGCACGGACGCACACGGGCCCAGCGTGAGTTTAAGCCACCGGGTCCAGGACTCGAACTGCAGTTGGCTACATGGGAGTCCAGCGACATAGCCATTACGCTAACTGCTGGTCTTGTCCTACCCCCTTCACCCTCTCCCTGAGACCTTGCTGCGGGCCACAGCTGCGGCTAGTGAACAGCTCACTGTGCCCCAACTCATGGGATGTTTTCAGGTGGAGACCATTCCAGAGGTACTCACACCCCTCCCACAGTAACACCACAGATGAAGGACACTGAGCCCTAAACACGCTCTGCTCATTCTGGTTTTTTTTAAATTTTTTTAGAGGTTTTTGCTATAGGGCTCATGTGTTTGCCAGAAAGACAGAGAGAGACAGAGAGACAGAAAGCAAGAAATCATCCCCGGGAGGATGGCCACGCCGCAATCCCTTCTCCTCCATTCTCCTCTCAGGATCTTGGGCAGGCACGCATGCACACGCAGCCCAGCTTGAGATTAAGCCACTGGGTCTGAGACTCGAACTGTGGTCAACTACATGGGAGTTCAGAGACACAGCCATTACGCCAAATGCTGGTCCCTCTGCTCCTTCTGTTCATCAACAAGATAAACTTTCACTGAAACCTTCGAACACTATATGAACAGACTAGACCCCTGCCGTGGCGACAGAGAATCTGCACTGACTTAGGAAACTTTGTTCTGAACATCCGGAACCTGACCCACGCTCCTGAGGGTTTGGACCACTCCTGCCTGGCCGTGAGTGGAGCAGGCTCACGCCTTCTCCTGTTGGACCGCGGGTGTGTTCTTTGCAGTCCGTAAGTACTAGAAGTAAGGCCTTAGACTTGGGGCTTTCTCAGAACAACCACTAACAAACGCATTCGGTAAAAATCAGAATCAATGTCATGACAGAAGAGCTATCTGAAATGGTCTTTGCTAAATTATGGGGTAGAAAAGACTTCATCAACACATGTAAACTATATCGAGAGAACGGAGAAAGAAAGCAGCAAATTGGGGCCTGCAGGTGGTGTGGTGGTTAGGAGGTTGGACTCCCTGAAAGCAGTTCGAGTCTTAGACCTGACTGCTTGCGTTTTCACTCTCCCTCTCTCTCATTGTCTCTCTACGGTCTAACTAAAATAATAACAACAATAATAAACAGAATTAAATAAAATAATTCTTTAAAAATAAAAAAAGAAAGTGCCAAATTCAAAGTTGCAAGAAAGGAGGTCTCACAGCTCAGATAGATAGTAAAGGGAGATTCGGAGATGTTTATTTAGGTTCCAGAGAAGTTCACAAGGGTTATGCAAGGTTGTTTTTATTTATTTATTTTTTAATAATGACTTCC